GATCGAACATTGTTTCGTTCTGCTGTGCATGGAGTCGCTATGAGTCGGTTCCGACTCGATGGCACCTGACAACAACAACAACAACAACAACACCCCAAGGGTTTCTGAGACTGAGATAATTTAGAGCAACTTCTTTGCAGACTGCCTCTCATTAATAAATTGTGGCTATTCGTCCTGCTGTGCTGGTATACAATAAGCACTGAACCACCAAGTTGTTTGGATCACAAGGTCAGCGTTCAAACCCACCAGTCGCTCCTCAGAAATCCTTTTCAGGGGTGGCTGAGTCAGAAGCGACTTGACGGCCCTTAACAGACCTGCACCATCACTCATCTGTCAGTGTGCCACTGTGGTGGGATGTTGCTGGGAACGTCCAGACTAAGACTAGGGAGGAAAAACACTCCTGAAAATCTTAGGAAGAGCAGCAGAATGTCGTCTGATAGCTGTGCCTGAAGATGAGCCCCTCAGGTTGGAAGATACTGAGATTACCACTGAGGAAGAGCTGCCTTCACAAATAGCGATGACTGTGATGGGGATGGAGTGAAGCTTTTATTTAGGACCTTCATTTGCTGATGGGGCACAACTCAAAATGACAAGACAGCTGCAAACAGCCTTTTAATAATCAGAATGTGGAACACACTAAGTATGTTCAAAGTCCTTAAATAGGAAATGGAATGTGTAAAGACCCATGTCCTAGGCATTAATGAGCTGAAATTGACAGGTATTGGCTGTTTTGAATCAGAGGATCATATTTGTTTACTGTTCCAGCATGAATAGGGTTGCTGATGCCTGACAAAAAGACACTAAATTCATGTGAAATCTGTGCAGTCAGATGTAGCCATGGCCAGATTAGGGGGACAGGTCAGAGACGTAGGAACTTGGGGAAAGGATTCCTGAGTCCCTCCTACTCTTTTCCTTCTTGTACCTGACCACAAAGATTGAGTGCCTAGATGTAGTGTATGTAACAGGACTTGGGAGCTGCCTTTGCTGCTCAGGGCTGGCTGCCTGCCTACCATAGGTTTCTTCTTCATGCCATCAGTCCCACAATGCCGACTGCTGGTGGGAAGGTCCACATCTAACCACCAGAGAGTCTCCCCTTCCTCAGTGCTTGATGGGGTCACATGAAGGCCATGGTGGTGAGGAAGATGACAATGACTACGGCTCTACTACCCAGATAGCTTGGAGCTTGCAGCCCCCTGGAGTTTTCTGGACCTTTGGCTCGACCAACTTCCTGGCTGTAGAGGAACTAAGGAGCTTGCAGCCCGCTGGAGTTTTCTGGACCTTTGGCTCGATCAACTTCCTGGCTGTAGAGGAACTAAGTTCTAGGCACTTGGTGAGTCACTGCAGTCACCACCCACACTCCCATACCTCCCTTGGAAGCATTCGTGCTTCTTCCTCAAACTTCACAGCTCCCTAGGGAAAAAGAACACTACTTAGCCACCAGTTCTAAAACCAAATTTTTATTTCTAGTTTGAAAAGGAAGGTAAATGGTTGTTCTGTAAAGTTTCAGAGAACAGAACAAGGCCCAATAGGTAGACATTCAAGGAAAGCAGACTTCGTTTATTACAGGGAATCATTTCTAACAATTAGAATTCTCGTACACTAGACCCCGGGTCTCTGGAGGTGGGGAATTCCCTGTAACCTAAGTGTTCAAGCTGCGCAGGGCACCAAATACTATTAGTGCTGAAAAGGAAATCACCGAATTCCAGCAGCAATGGGTCCGTCCTTTCTATCAGGATCTGAGGGTTTGCAGGAGTGGAGGAGGAATCTGGGGAGTCAGACACAGGGGTGTGGACAGCCAGGGGAAGCTGGGTGCTGGGAATTGCCCTGCGGCTGGACTTTGGGGAGGCATTAACTAACAGTGGTTAGTCTGACTCTGGGTGCCTATGCAGGGGGCAGAGGAAGGGGACAGGATGGGGCAAGCAAGAACAGCTTGGCTTCACCTCCAGATGCTGGACAAAGTCCAGGTGCATTTCTAACAAGGCCAGCAGGTTCTCCAAGGTATATCCAACTGGCCTACTTTTCCTCCCCGAGTGTTTGTTTACTAAGAATGATACCACACCTACTTCCAAAATGGTTTGCAGTAACTCACAATAAAAGACACAGAGACATTAAGGCGGTTAACACCAGAGGATGGAGTGTCCTCCTTTCCACTGGTGGCTTCTCTAGCCCAAGGGCACTATGGGTAGATCAAGCTGCTATTGCTACATTCCCAGGGCACACAACAGTTGGAACAGCAGCTTAGCAAACACCAGCTGGGAGGCTGGGGCCCTGGCCCTCTGGAAGGGAATTCCTTGAAGAAGGGGAGTTGCTCTCGCTTTCTCCCAGGCCTCACTTTGCTCCCCCCTCCTCAGTCTCTTCCAGTGACTCGCATCCCATCTGCCCACTGGGACACTCCTCTCAAACGACATCCAAATCTTCTCCCCCTGAGCCCCTAGATGCCGGCCCTGCCCCTTTCAGACATCATGCCTCTTCTGATGGGCCAGGAGTTTATCCTCATCATCAAAGGTCTGGCCACAGATAGCGCAGCAGAAAGCGCCGTCTCGGATGTGGCTCTTGCGGTGGGTGATGAGATTAGACTTCTGGCTGAAACTCCGGTCACAGTCGGGGCACGCATAGGGGCGCTCGCCTGTGTGAATGCGTCGGTGGGACACCAGATTGGACTTCTGGCTGAAGGCTTTGCCACACTCAGGGCAGACATAGGGCTTTTCGCCAGTGTGGATGCGCCGGTGCGCTGCCAGGTAGGGCTTGTGGCGGAAAGCCTTGCCACAGTCTGGGCAGACAAAGGGCCGCTCAGGAGCGTGGTCACGCCGGTGGGCCGCCAGGTGGCTGCCCTGTGAGAAGCGGCGCCCACACTCTTCACAGGCAAAGGGCCGCTCACCCGAGTGGATGCGGATATGAGCCACCAAGTGGGTTTTCTTGCCAAAGTTCTTTCCACACTCGGTACAGTTGAAGGGCCGTTCACCACTGTGCTGCCGCTGGTGAGCGCGTAGGAAACGCTCCAGCCGGAAGCTCCTCCCACACTCAGGACAGCTGTAGAGCGGTGGGGGTGCTATAGGCTGGGCCTGCAGGGGTGCTTGAGGGGCTACCAGCAGAGGCTCTGGAGCAGACTCCTGTTGAGGTTTCAGTGGGGCCTCTGGGGTGGGCTCCAGCGAGGGCTCCACGGGGCCAGCTGGAAGCTGGGGACTCCCTGAGCCAGGGGTACCCTGTACAGACCCCTCAGATCGCTTGTGAATCTTGCTGTGTGACAGCAGGTTGGGTTTGTGCCGAAAGCGGCGCCCACACTCTGTGCACGGGTAAGGCTTCTCACCAGTGTGGATGCGCCGGTGAGAAGTCAGGTAGGGCTTGTTGGTGAAGCGCTTTCCGCACTCCGGGCACTGGTGGGGCCGCTCGCCTGTATGCACACGGCGGTGAGCAATCAAGTTAGGCTTATGCCGGAAGCGCTTGCCACAGCAGGCACATTGGAAGGGACGGTCCACAGCATCTCCACCAGGCCTGGGGGCAGCCACTGCTGGGCGACCCCTGGGCCGAGGCCCGAGGGCCTTGGCCACTGCCTCGTCGTGGGCCTCAGACACATGAACCCGCTTGTGAGCCACCAGCTGGTCCCACTGGGCAAAGCTTCGGCCACAGTTGCCGCATATGAAGGGCCGGGCCTCCGGCGGGTGTGGGTGGCACCTGCGCAGGTGAGCTCGGAGTTGCTTTCGTCTCCAGAAGCGTCTCTCACATTCGGGACAGGCGACGGGCCGCTTTGCAGCTTCGTGAGCTCGCAGGTGCAGAACCAGGGCCACCCAGCCTCTGAAGGCCTGCCCACAGGTGTGGCAGGCAAAGCCCAGGTCTGGGGTGGTTGCAGCATGGACCTGGCGGTGTAGCGCCAAGAAGGGGGCGTGGCGGAAGCGACGCCCACACTCAGGGCAAGGCAGGGGTAGCCGGGCCTGGCACCGCCTGGCATGAAGCCACAGGGCCACCCACCCTGGGAAGTGCCGTTTACAGTGGGCACAACGGTGGGTTCCACCTGGGGACCGGCCACCCAACAGTGACTTCCACCCACAGGGTTCCTCCTCCAGGGTCTGTGCTGACTCCTGGGAGGGCCCAGAAAGGAGGCGGGGGGGAGCTGGGCCCATGGCCGAAGGACCCCTGCAGCGCCGTTCCAGCATCAGTTCTTCCTCCACTGAGGGCAGAAAAGCAGAGTCACTGGGGAGATAGACAGCTCTGTCTCAGTTCCTTCCCTGGTGGCCCCAGCCTGAACCTGACCCCTACAGCCTTGAACACGAGGCTGGACTAACCTTAGGTTTCATGTATGTTCCCTGACTTCAATTCTGAGCTTCTAGGTAACACTTCAAGTCCATCTGTCTAGCCTAAGACTACGGAAACTTCCTACAACCCCTCACTGCACCCACTCGGGATTCAGCAGGCAGCGAACCCCCAAAGCTCATCAGGAAGGCAGCCAGTGCTTTCTGCTTTCCCAAAATGCTGCCCCATAGCTCTTCCTCACTTCCTAAGGCTGCGTCAGAGCTCCACAGCAACGCTGTGAGGCTGGAGGCACAGTTAACGTCCCATCTGACAGATACAGTAACAAAGCGATGGAAAACTGAGACTACGGAAACTATGGTCGAAACTCCAAATCCAGTGTTCTTTCCTCTAGATACTCAAGTTGTAAAGAGTTCACAGAAATTGCTATAATCCTTAATTCCTACCATCCTCTCCTAGGCTCTACAGCCTCGGGGAGGGCACTCAATGCCTAACTAAGCCCAGTCTCTAACCAGAGCAGCCTGCAGAAAGCGAACTCCTCAGGGAACATGAGGCGGCCTCGAAATGTTATTCCAGAAGCCTTCTGCTAGGCAACCTCCTGCCCAGACTGTGCCACGGTCTGCCCGCCTCCGCCCACATACACCATTAGGACATCCCAGAAAGGAAAGGGCTCCCACAATCCAAACACCACCCACATCCTGCTACCCCGAGGGGCCGATGCCCGGCCCAGCCCCCCTGACCATGTTGGGGATTATCGGGGCAACAGCAGGAGAGGGAAAAATTAAGTATACTCTGTCCCCCGCCTGGTCCGGCCCCAACCATGCCAGGGGCCGCCCGCAGACAGCCCTTCTACAGGATCAGGAAGCCCCATTTCCTAGCAGAACACGAGAGTGAGGGCTGCGGTGAGCCCCTCCACCAACTTCCCTCTTGGATTCCCGTCCAACTGTCAGACCCAACACTGGGCGCCAACTGGGGTCCTTCCCCCCCGCAGCCCCTCACCACCACCGGGAGCACAACAAAGGCCAGACCCTACCCTGGAGACGGCGGGCCTGGGAATGCAGCTTGATCCAGCTCCGCCGGGGGACGCTCCTGGGGATACTTCGGCGGCGGTAGCACCCGCTTCGGCCCCTGCTCTGGTAGCCCCCAGACGTCAGCGAAAACTGCAGCAATAAAGACACCCCTACCCCCATGGCAGGGCTCAGACCTCGGAGCGCCACGAGGCCCGCCTGACCTGCCGGAGGGGAGAGGGAACGCGTGAGGCTGTGCGCGCCCAGCGTGGTCAGCGCGCGGCCCGCCCCTCCCCCGCCAACAAAGCCGCGCAGGCGGCCTCGCGCCTGGCCGAGTGACCTTAGCGGACACTTGGCCGGGAACCAGTGACCCCACCGCCAAGGCAGTGCGCCGCGGCGGAGCGCTCCCTTCTCCGCTGCGGGCACCAGGCCCCGAGGCGCGCTGCGTTCCCGCGGGCTCCGGGCTCCTCGAGAGGCCACCGGCCACCGAGCGACACGGCCCCTCCCCCACCGCCCAGCGGGCTCAGCCGATTCCCGCGGGCGGACCAGGCCAGTCAGGCGTCCCTCCGAGTCGCGTGCGCACTCGTGCTTGTCCTCTGCCCGCGGAGACACACGGCCGCCCGGGGGCCGCAGCCCTCCCGTCGGTCCTCCGCTAGCGGCCGACCAGCCGCACACGCACCTCGAAGGCCGCTGCCATGCCGCCGCCGCCGGCTACGCAGGCCCAGCGTCCGCTGCGCGGCTCCGGCGGGTCGAGTTCAGGACGGCCGCCGGCCCCCCCACCCTCGCCGGGTTCCCAGTGCCACGTGACTACAGGAGCCGCCAAGGGTCAGGCGCAGTTGGGTGGGGCGGGGCCAAGGGGCTGGAGCCCTCCGGTGCCCGCCTCCGTGCCCCCTAACCTGACCGGGCTTCGTTGCCAAGACGACCACCACCAGGGTTCTTCAGACAGGCCGACCCCGTTTCCAACCCTTTGTCCCCTGGAGGCCCCAGTCCAGAAGCCTCGTGGCCTGGTTTAGGCAATGCCTCCACCCTGCAAGTCCAGCCCGAAAGTCTGGGTTCTGAATGGCGAAAAGGGAATGCCCTTTCTTCCGGAAATTGAAAAAACGAGAAGCCGCTTCTGGCTTCCTCTGGCCGCGGTCAGGGGTGGGACAGTGGTCGAGGTGGCCGTTGTCGCGTGCGTCCTTCCGCTTGGAACCGGAGGCTGCCGGGCGGGGTCACGGATACAGGTGCGAACCTGAGCCTGACTCAAGCCCGGGCGAGCTCCGCGTCATGTACTCAAGATTTTTAACAAAGGCAGGTTTTGTACAGTTACTTATAAAACACATGGGAAATCTGCGAAAGTAAGAATTTTAGAGGGATATAAAAATCAGATACTTTTATATCCTAGAGTTAATTAGATTTAGTATTTTGATGTGTATCTCCCAGTGACTTTTCTATTGGTACTTGTGTGTATGACGTAATTCGATGCTGCCTTACAAAATGTATTCTGCCTTTTTCATTAAACAAAATTGTGAAGTTTCTCCCATGTTATTGTTGTTAAGTGCCATTGAGTCAGTTCCAACTGGTAGCAACCCTGTGTAGGGTTTCCTAGGAGCGGCTGGTGAGTTTGAACCGCCGATCTTGCAGTTGACTTGTAGTTGCAAGCTTATCCTGTAGCGCCACACTAGGACTCCCATGTTAGGTATAACATGGTTCTTATTGACGGAACATTCCACCATCTCATAAATGTAAAAATAGGGTGTTTATAACCTTTATGGTTGTCTAAGTCCTTATAGGGTTTTGTTTTTTGGGTTTTTAATTTTTATTGTGAACTGAGTGATAGTTTACATGGGAGAACATCAGCTTTACACCATCTCATTGCATTGATTACAATCTCCTTCGTGCATCATCATTCAACAGCATCTGCTTCCATTCCCTCTGTTGGTTTGGTTTGTTTTGGGGGGCAATGTACACAAAGACACACTCAGGCATATATGATCATTTAAATAACCAAAGGGCACCTTCTGCAAGCCTGCCTCCTGGCCACCGGCACTCAGTCCCTCTCTTCCCATGAGTCTAGAGTCCTCAGCTGCTCACTCTCTTCATGTCCTCATCTCTGCCTCCATCTCTGCTGTCGCTGCTTCTCTGGAAGAGAGAAGAGCATTCCGCCTGTGCTCTTCTCCCGTGATGGTCCTAGGGTCCTCTGCTTCTGGACTATAAGATTAACTCCTCCCCCATTTTACAGTTGTAACAGTCTCAATTAGTCATAGAAACAGTTACTCACTTCTGAATTACAAGAATCCTATCCCCATCTCCTTTCACCAGATAGGTGAAATCTTTAATTATATATGTCTTACTTTTAAATTATAGAAGGAAGGAAGGAGTCAAGGCTAAAGTATATTTTTTAATGTTTTCAAAATTATTTTCCCAGGAGCATTTTAAAATTTCCCCTGAGAAGTGTCCATTTCTCTATTTATTGTTGTTTTAAGTGCAGTTGTTCTGACGCATAGCAACCCTGTGTAGGGTTTCCGAGGCTTTTAAAATCTTTGCTGGAGCAGAAAGCCTCATCTGTCTCCCGCCGAGCAGCTGGTGGGATCCAACCACCAACCTTGTGGTTTGCAGTCCAGTGCTTAACCTGTGGACCCACCACACTCCCTGTAGCCACAGAGCATCCTTTGGATATATTTTTCTAATTTAACTTTAAATGGTTATTCCTCATTGTTTGATTTACATTTCTCTGGTTATTACCTTATTTGTTGGCCATTGTAGTTTCTCTGTTGTGAATTTCTTTAGTCTCTGCACTTTTCCATTTACTCATTTTTAGAAGTTTGGCAAGTGACTTCATTTCCCATTTTGTGCGGCACTCTTTATAAAGTAATTAACTTTTTGTCAAGTGTATTGCAAAAATATTTACTCAGCTTGTACTTTAACTTTTAAGTTTAATGTGAGAAAATTTTGTGTTCATGTAATAAAACCTGTGTGGTTAAAAAAAAATTTTTTTTTATGGTTTCTGTCTTTGGTGTTATGTTTAAAATAGGCCTCCTCATTCCTAAATTATCTTTAATGTTTGTAGTATGGTGAATCTGTAGGACATGGCTAACCACAAGATTGGCAGTTCCAGCTCACCAGCTGCTCCTCGGGAGAAAGGTGAAGCTGTCTGTTCCCATGAAGATATACCGCCTCAGAAACCCTATACAGATTCGCTGGGCATCAGAACTGACTCGATGTCACTTAACAACAAGAACAAGGATTGTCACAACAAATACGTTTTACTATCTAGGAGTGAAAGGACTCCCTCTACACATAGATGCCGTTGTTTGTTTCAAAACTTTTTGACTAAAATAACTTATTCTTCGAAATGAACTTTAGAAATTGATAGCAGTGTTTTTAAAGCCCAGTTGGCATTTGGAGACTTTTAATATTCAGGCTTTTCCACTTATTAAAGTCTTACTTTACATCTCACGTTTTCTATTTCTTTTATAGCGTGTATAGCTTTTAGACCTCTCACCCAATAAAATTCACAGACATAAAAAAATACCTTTGTCAGGTGATAAGAGTTCTGGGTTTTAGAAAATGTGGTCATAGTACGTTGTAGAATACATGTCAAGTTTGGTGGTTGCAGAACAATGGATTTTTCTTAATGATACTAAAGTTTATACTTAAATATTTAATCATAATAGTTAATATTTAGTCTCCTTATTTTGTGTCAGGAAGGTGCTAAATTTTTCACATACATATTTTCTCAACAACCCTATGAAACAAACTATTTTGGTCCTCCTTTTACAAATAAAACAACAGAGATTCAGAGATGTTAAGGAATTTGCCAAGAGTCATGCAGCTGGCTGATATGAACATGGTCAGTCTAACTTTCCCACTGAAGTTATACATCTGGGTGAAGCACCGATACTGTGTGGGAGCAGAGTAAGCAGGAAGCCAGTGCACACGTCTAACGCTCCTTGGTCCCTTTAACCCCTTCTTAGACTCTCAAAGTATCTTCCTCTCAGCCATAATCAGTCTCTTTTATCAGAAGGACTCCACTTAAATGAGACCCTACCTCCCATTGGATGAAAGGACTCTATCCTAATCAAGAGCTAACCACGTGCTGTAACTTCCTCTTTGGGCAAACACAAAGGAAATGAAGTACTTTAAGGCTGCCTTAGCTCAGCTCCACAGAGAGAAAAGGAGTTGGCAGTGGGGGGCGGGAAGGGGGGGAGCAGGAGAATTCCTGAGCTTTTATACCACTCAGAAATGAAAGGCCTTTCATTTGAGACTTCACCCTTCAGTATGTCCTAAGGACAAATGTAGGAGTAGTTCCAGCAACCAATCAGAAGGCAAAATGGCCTAGTCCAATGGAGGAGAGCTGTCTTAGTGTTTGATGTATTTACTCAAGATAGATATAGGCCCCACTAACTTAAAGGGTTCATTTTCCCTTCCAATCATACCTGGTCCCCACTGTTGGATTATATAGCAGAGTAAGCGGGCACATCAGGGCTTGAGGGAAACAATGTTTCCAGAAGCCCTATATAGAAAAACCTATTGGCGTGGCACTGTAGGATAAGCGCTGGAATGCAAACCAAAAAGTGGATGGTTCAAACCCACCAGTTGCCCCTCAGAACCCTTGTGTAGTTGGAATTATTTGACAGCATTTAATACCAACAACATGGTTCGGGAGCAGCCCTGTGTCTAGAAGAGGGAAAACGGCATCTTGCCTTTTTCACTATGTCAAAGGATATTGAGTGGGCTCCTAACGCTGGTTTAACTATGAAAGTATCTCTTGAGCTGGTAATTAACATGAAATAAAAACATTTTAATTGATTATTTCAGGATGGATGACTATTGAAAAAGTGGACTAGACTAGGGATTCAGAGAAAAGAAGACATTTTTAATGGGACATATTTAACTATTTTGACTCCTTCAGGCAGATAAGAACCAGATACTGACTGAAATTTTAGGAAACTGAAATAATTTCCTGGTGTTTGCAGACAGCTTTGGGAGGCAGCGAAAGGTCCATACTACATAGGGGTCGATGGAGGGCAAGTCTGCTGGAGTGTGCTCCCACCAGCAAAACCTCATGTACAAATGCTAATAACTTTCATCGTCTGACCTGCTCCACTTTTAGGACATCTAGATAAGTCTTCACCATAGGATAAGCACTCGACCCCAAGGTCAGTGGTTCAAACTCACCAGCCACTCCTTGGAAACCCTAT